TTGTCGAAAAATAAATTTTAAATGAAATACCAAAATCAGCCCTTTTTAACTACTTGAGCTCGCTTGCATTAAAAAACTTTCACTTTTGCCTGGAAAAACAAATTTTTCACTGAAGTATATATTGCTCCATCGCCCAATTTGTAACAAGCAAAATTGACCACTTGCTGACTTATTATTGTATCACCTGTTCAAGTGTAAGCAATTCGGCTAGTTCCTTCTGTTTCGCTATATAAATGTTGTACCATTTTCGCAGCAGGTCTCCGCGCTGCTTCGCAGTAAGTTTCAAAGACCAATTTTCTAATGCCCCTCTAGCAGCTTTCACAGCCTTAAAAAAGCAAAGAAAAACTACAAAGCTGAAAAGCTAAGGTAAAATGCGCCAAAAAATGACTGGATATGACACATCAAGGTTTTAATCTATTCTCTTACTTAAAAAATAAAACAACAAGAACTAATCAGGGACAGCGTTCGGCGAAGAATTTTAAGTGGCGCCGAAAAATAAATACAGGAAAAAGATAACTAATGTCCTTAAAAGTTCAATCATCGGATAGAAATATCGCTGAATATTTTTAAGGTGGTCTGTCATATAAAAGCCAAAAGACTTCAAAAATGAAAATGGAAGAGGAAGAAAACCAGGAAAAAAACAAGTAAAAGAATGGCACCCACTTTCTCAGTATCAATAATACCACATTTGGCTACAGAGCACAGCATATCATTATTAAACGGATTCCTTACTTCAAATGTATCGCCAGATTCTGCGTTAACCCATGCTCCTATAAAAATAATAAAATTAGTAAACTGCGTAAAGGTTAATGAGAACCGAGTAATATTTCTATAAATTGCAGTCAATTAGGACTACCATTAATAAAAGCTTTTCCTCCAGCAGGAAGCAAAGAAGTAGTATAACGTCGGCAGAATGTTAAGGTTTCCAGTAACTGCCGACCCGTACGTTCGAGCAACATTTCTAAATGACCAAAAGCAAGCAAAAATCGTAAGCGCATTAAAGAAAAAAAAGTACTAGATTCAATATTCAGGCGACATCAATGCAAAATCAACCAATAAAACAAAAAAAGAAAAAAAAAATTTGCTGTTGTTTAATTTCTATCAAAAGTCACTTCTAAATGAACTAAAATATTCCAGTTTTGACAACAAACCTATCCAGGTAAAAATTAAGCCAACCAAATTTCAAGGATTATGACCGGTTACATCACTAATTTCCTCTAAAGCTTTCATTTTTAACGTCGTCCCCAAAAAAATTACCTTCTCTGTCAACATAGTTGATCCTGAGCTATTTCTAATCCGTTACATTTCCAATGACTCACTTGAACCTTATTTCACAATGCAAAAAGCTTTAACCTTTCCGTATGTTAATTTTATAGAATGATCTCCATTAAGTGTAATAGATCTCTGAAAGCTTTTAACGTATTCTGTCCCTTCCAAAACAGCGAATACAGATGGCTTGTCGATGTAAATTAATCATCCTCATCTGTGCCAGCAGCTTCCCATCTCAGAGACGCATACAACAACATCAGAACTTCTTCAAAAGAATTTTCACTCATCTCAACTACAATAATTCTTCTCTATTAAGCAAGAACAGTCAACAATGTCCATTTAAAAAGTGTTCATTAGCCCTTAATGCTGCAATAAAACTGTGATAAGAAAACCGCATTCGGAAGTTTTAGATAACTTCAATCACAGAACACTCTTGCCAACAATCTAGAAAAAGCCAATAAAAATTAAGAAAAAACTTCAATATATTTCTAACTCACAATAACGAAAGAAATTCTGAAATGAAGAAATAAAAGGGGCTTCTCGAAAAGTTATAGCCAGGTCAATGAAGTGGCACAACTTTAAAATGCAAACCTATAGAACCTCACTCAAGATAGAATCAAAAAGCGATTGCGTGACTAAAGTCACAAACATGTCGTAACCGACGTAGATTTGGCAGCTGGGTCTGTTGAGTGCATCTCAAATCATCTCATAAAATATTATGCAGCTGTTAAATTCTGTGTGCGTCTTCACAAAAATAATTTGAATTAAATAATTGGGCAATATTCCATCATGAAGATTTAATTTTTCTTGATGGTTTGAGCAGTGTTTTTTTCAGTGCTGTGATACTTCTCTACTTCTTACTTTTTTCCGGATATCTTTTTGGTAGAAGTCCGTAACACAGGCCTACTTCCTTGCTGTTATTTAGAAATTTTGTCTTATATGGTTTAGAATGAACGTGTGCAAGCTATTCATATTTAATTGGACTAGAATTTCAATAGTTGTTGACGTGTTTGTATCATTTCGATGACCAGCTTTTGAAACAAGGTGTTTCAATATTTCTCTGCGTATTCAAACCGTTGTTTGTTATGTTTTTGTGGATGAAATGGTTTATCTGTAACCTGTAAATCTGCAAAAAAAGAAAAAATAAAAAAGAGAAAAACGCTCTAGGCGAGGGTTGTAAGAAAATTTTTTTCGCTAACTTATAAAAGCACCTACCTCTTTAAAGCGAACCTCGGTAAAGGGTCAAAAAACTTTGAAGAAAGGGAACTTAAGAACTAACCCGTTATTGCCAAGGATATCGTGGTTTCTGATTCCTTGTAAAATTATTGTTTAGTCTCAGTTTAAATGCAATTTTTTTTTTTTTTTTACTGGCGTGGTTATTTGGAGCTGGGTGCATCGGACTGTGCCAGAGTGAAGTTGCCTGCTTTTTTTTTACAAACAGGTTAAATGATGTAAAATTATAATTTAGAGGATAACTAACTGTGCTTAGAGTTCCAAGAATGTTTTTACAAGGTATTCATATTGAAAAACTAAAAATTAAGGCAGAAAGGAAGCGTATTCTGCATGGAAGTGAACCATACCGAATAAGTAAAATGTTTGACTTTTGCTTTGTAAGGATAAGGCCAAGAAAAAGTAGTTGCAACCAAAGGGAGTATTGCGAAGATGCTAGGGATTCATAATCATTTCACCTCAGTAAATCTGCGATGCCGTAATAGTTATTTTTCTTCCTTTGTTATTTCTTCTCGAACAAAACGCTATTTAAAAAAATGGTTCTAAAATATGTTAAACGCTAAGTGTCTAAACTTTCTAAGTTGCAGTAATTTTAGCCTTGTTCTCTTATCTTTTGTCGACCAATTTTTTTGAATATCTTTTAGGTTTTAGCGTTTTTCTGCTTCTCTCCTAAAGCCTAAAATTTTTTTTTTAGAGTGGTTTTATTTCAGATATCAGTTTTTTATTTTTCACAACTGTCCATTTTTGGTACCTGCGATAAATTAGAGAGGTGAGACTATACGCAGATTGAAGTTACTAAATATGCAAATATCAAAATACATTCGATTTGTTACGTAATTGTTGATATCTTCTCACCAGTTTCAAGTTTACTATGTAAAACCTTTTCCAGTTGAAAACAGTTGCGATATTCATTTAAAAATAATCATTTGGATAGTCAAAATGTGCGTTATGATGGTAGTTTAAACGGTCATTTTGAATCGGTTAAGTGGCATTTATATTCATTTGTTTCATATTTACTCTGTTTGTTATGTCATTTCTTTGATTTTTAGTTAAATTCGTTTGTTTTTTGAAAATATTGCAACCCATACGCAGTAATGTGTGACAGACGCGCATTCATGCTTTTTTGTTTCGATTGTAGTTCACTTTACTTTTTCAGGAATCTTGACATTTCTTGCGTATTGTACCTTACAGAAATCTCCTTTGAGCGACTTTGTCAATTTTTCTCTCCAATGGTGGTAAGATTTTTTTTTTTTGATTTTTTTTTTTTTTTTTTTTTTTTTT